CGTGCCTCGCTGGCCCGGCCCGGCTGGCGGTGGTGGGCCAGCCTTTCTACCCTGCAGTACCGAGACTGGAGGTGGTCCAGTCGCTTGGTGTCACTGGAAGGTGGGGTGGCAGTGGGCAGTGGCAGTGCAAGCAGGCCCTGGGGAGCAGAGGCAGGCGGTCACTGCCAGGTGCGCCCTGGTCTTTCTCTCCCTGACAGCCCCCGAGCCTGGTGCTCTGTGCTCTGTTCTGAGCCTGGGCCTGCTCGGGCTGACTGCATCCCTGAGGACTCCTGGAGGTTGTTGGTGCTGCTCTACAGAGAAGGCGGGGACCGGGAGGCCTCCCGCAGGTGGGTAAGCTCTCGAGGGCCAGGGCTGTGGGGCTGATGGTGCCTTGAGACCTGAGTCCTGGGGTGAGGATGCCCTTGGAGCCTCCAGGGCATTGCTGGTCCTCACGGAGAGAGCTGGAAGGTGCCAGGGCGGAGCAAGCCAGCCCTGGCTCTGCCGGGCCCACCTGGTTTTCTCATGGCTCTCTGGCTTGGAGTTACGGGGCTCCTTGCAGCCCCACGGCACCTCCCCCCACCATCCACACTAAGAGGTGGGTGATTCGGAGCATGACCAACCTCTTCTGCTGACCCTGGGGACTTTAGGAGAAGAGCTCCCCTGGACCCCCCACCCCGCCCCCGTGGACACCCGGCGTTAGTGTGTGTGACCCCCACCTTGGAGACCGTGCTGACCTCCCACAGATGCTGGCCCGTGCGGAGTATGCACCCAGGCCTCAGGGAACCGAAGATAAGCTTGGACAGGTGGGGGCTCGGCTTTCTCGGGGCGCCCGAGGGGGTGGGCCCCGGGCAGCGGGGAAAGAGGGGCGATCGTGTGGCCAGGGTTTCTCCAGGGCTGCGAGTGCCCTGGAACAAGGTCTCCTGGGGCCATGCTGTCTGCCTGCAGGTGGGGCCGCGAGCGCTTCGCCCTCCCCGCCCAGCTTGAGCTCGGAGAGGGACGGTAATCGGATTTGCCCGGGAGCCCTCCCCCAAGTAACTCCTGGCTCCCTGGAGGCTGGCACACGCCCAGCTGGTGTGGCTGAGCCCCCAAGCATTCGAACCCCACCCAAGTGCACACGTGGCCCTGGCCTGCCCTACAGGGGGCCTCCAAGGGCGGCCCTCCTCATTGGTTTACTTTGCTTTTTAAATATAATTGTGCTGGGACTATCTGCGAGTGCTGCTTCTCCTACACAGGGTTATTTATAGGGGAGGTGGGTGGGCTCTGCGTTGTAGCCCGCCCCCACCCCCATTTCCTGACTGGAAGCTCGCCCGTGACACAGCTGCTGGGGTCCCAGTGCCCCGTGCGGCAGGGCCTCCTGGGGATGCTCAGAGGCTGGAAGGGGGACGCCCTGCAGTCCCCGTGCAACAGAAGAGGGCAGCTATGCATGTTTAGGGAGTCAGAGGTGGCCAGGGGGGACTTGGGGGCTGCAAGGTCCTCCAGAAGGTGTCCCTACAGGTCGGGCAGGACATCCCATACCATAAGGCTCCCGGGAGGGTGGAGAGCCAGGGACATGCCAAGGTCATGGCTGTGACGGGCAGAGCTGAGTGGAGCCCTGCCTGCCCCCAAGTCCGCCGTCTGGCTGGGGCCTTCCAGGCAGGGGCGTCAAGCAGGCCATCTGCTTCCCAGCGGCGTCTTGTGAGGCCCTGTGCTCCCAGCTGTCGGGCTGCCGTGTGGTAGCCGCCCTTGCCCAGGCTCGTGGAGGGCGTGGGTGTCCCAGTGAGGACCTGCAGGGTGCTGACCTGGGAAGGGCCACTGCCTGCCCCAGGCCCTGCTGCCCTCCCTGGCTCCTTGAGGCCCATAGGTGGGCGCAGACCCGTCTCCGACACGCCTGTCTCTCGTTGCGTGGCCTTGAGCATTTCGGGTGCACCCCGTGTTGGCAGTTCCTAGACACTGGAGCTGGCTTTTGGTGTAGGCGGTCACAGGCCCAGGAGGTCCTTGAGCTGGGCACTCAGGAGGGCGGATTCCCGTCCTGCCGCCCACAGCAGACCACAGCCTGCTGGGGCCCCTGTCTGCCAAGGACGCTGGCTCCTGGGCGCCAGAGCTGGCACCGAGCGTGCACACCTGATCTGACAGGAAGACCAGATAGCTTCTGGGGCGGTATCTGTGAGTTCCTGAAGCCTGGGGGCGGTGTGGGAGGGGGAGGCCTGGTCCAGAGCAGGCTGGGCCTGGCGGGGGTCACAGGCCTGCTAGCCTCTGCAGCTCAGGGCTGGCAAGTTTGCGCCCGGTGCTTTGGGAAGGGTCTGCTGAGGGCCCTCATGGCTGCGTGGGCTGTGGGTGGGCCGGGCGGCTCAGCCCGCACGCCCGAGGTCCCGGTTCTGTCACTGTCGGTGCCGAGTGGGCTGGGCTCCTTTCTGTCTCCTGGGGAGAAGGCCCTGAGTGTGGTCTTCAGCCATGGGGGCCCCGGGAGACCCGTCGGGCAGTCGGGTGAGTCACTCTACATGCGGGGCCTGTCCTAGGCAGCAAACGCGTCCCATGATCACCTGGCAGTGCTTACCCAGAGCAGGTGGGAGCATTCGAAGGGTGGGGGTGCTGGGGTGGGAGCCAGGGAGACTCTCTGTAAGGTGGGCACAGGGGCTGTGAGGGAGGCTGACCCAGGCCTGGCGGAGGGGCACAGGAGGGGCATGCAGGCAGGCGGGACATGCAGAGGCCCTGAGGCGTGTGGCTGGTATTACCCGAGGGCGGGGTGAGCTCCAGGGAGGGAGGACAGGAGGGGCTTGTGCGCAAGGTGGGTACAGTCGGCCCGCCGGCCTGGGGGGCCCTGAGGAGGGAGCTGGAGAGT